CCTGAGAATAACAAGTGTGAATTGTTCATCCTTGTCATCAGGACACTAATCCAATTTCAATCCTTGTAATAGACAGATGGCTGAGTTTAATATTGCCAGCAGATTTTGCAGAATCATTCTTTGATGATTCATCTCCTGGTCAACTAGTATATATAGGGTGATCAATCCTTTGTAAATGTAACTTAGAAATTCGGAAAATATTCAGATATTAAGAAGAAGTAATTGAGAGAGGTTTTTATCTATTTCTATCTCATTAATTTGCCCTTCATCTTCTTCATTTCACAACACGTTATCAGCATGAATCAGCTCAAACTCTCCAAGAATTCATCTTCCTGCAGATATGGATCACTCAAATGACAAAGAGCTATGTCTGATAGACAACGCCACAACGCACACCATTTTGAGAACCAAAATATATTTTTCTCAAATGACTTTAGTTGAAGCTAAAGTCAATACAATATCAGGTGTTGCGAAGCTCATTGAAGGCTCTGGGAAAGCATATGTGATGCTCCCTAACGGGACCAGAATAATTATAAATGACGCCTTATACTCCAGCAAATCGCGGAGGAATTTATTAAGTTTTAAAGATATGCGTCAAAATGGTTATCACATAGAAACCGTGAATGAAAACCAAAAGGAATATCTTTGTCTAACAACAACTAAATCTGACACTAAATGTATTTGTGAAAAAATGCCAGCATATTCATCAGGACTATATTTCACATATATAAGTCCATTCGAAATAAATTTAGTTTCTAAGACAAAGTTAGATGATCAGAAAACATTCATGTTGTGGCATGATCGTTTAGGTCACCCAGACCAGGTAATGATGCATAAAATCATTAAGACTTCACTTGGACATCCATTAAAGAATATTAGGATTCCATTGTCAAGTGATTTTCTTTGTAAAGCCTGTTCTCTTGGCAAAATGATCGTCAGGCCTTCTATGAACAAAATTGCAACTGAATCCCCTGCATTTTTAGAAAGGATTCAAGGAGATATTTGTGGGCCGATTGCCCCACCATGTGGACCATTTCGATATTTTATGGTGTTGATTGATGCTTCAACACGTTGGTCACATGTCAGTCTTTTATCGACTAGAAATTTAGCATTTGCTAAACTCCTTGCTCAAATTATAAGAGCTCATTTTTCGGATCATTCTATAAAAAGAATCCGACTTGATAATGCAGGAGAATTTACATCCCAATCATTTAACGACTATTGTATGTCGATTGGGGTTGATGTGCATCACCATGTTGCTCATGTCCATACACAAAATGGTCTTGCTGAATCTTTGATTAAACGATTACAATTAATCGCCAAACCATTATTAATGAAGTGTAACTTACCTTCATCAGCTTGGGGACATGCTATTTTACATGCAGCAAATTTAGTTCGGCTTAGACCAACTGCATATCATGAATATTCCCCAATGCAATTAGTTACTGGACAAGAGCCAAACTTAACACACATTAAGATATTTGGTTGTGCTTTTTATGTTTTGATTGCTCCACCTCATCGTACAAAAATGGGTCCTCAAAGAAGGTTGGGAATTTATGTTGGATTTGAATCTCCCTCAATAATAAAATATCTCGAACTGATGACTGGTGACTTATTTACAGCACGGTTTGCAGACTGTCATTTCAATGAGACAGTATTCCCAACCTTAGGAGGGAAAAGAATAAATTAGACCCAAGTACGAAAGAGATAACATGGAATGCAACAGGGTTATCACATCTTGACTCAAGAACAAATATATGTGAGCAAGAAGTCCAAAAGATAATACATTTACAAAATGTTGTTAATCAGTTGCCTGATGCATTCACATATACAAAGAAAGTGACAAAGTCACGTATTCCTGCCATGAATGCCCCTGCCAGGATCGAAATCCCAGCAGAGAATTCTGAAAAATCTCTTGCGAATGATTCTTCTATACGCAAAAAGCGTGGCAGGCCACTTGGATTAAAAGATATAAAATCAAGAAAAACTAAAAGGCATGAATTGATCTATGATGCCAAAGATGTTCACCCTTCTGAACAAGAAAATGAACAATTTGAAAATACTGGCATAGAAAATAATATTGACAAAACAAACATCTCAAATGATGATCCAACTTCCTTAAACGAGGAAGATATTCCAGATAATGATAGAAACGTTGATAATTATGAAATTTCAATAAACTACGTTTCTACTGGAATGCAATGGAATCGAAAACATATTGATATTAATGAGATATTTGTCTATGCCATTGCCACAAATGTTATGAATGAGAATAATGACAATGAGCCAACATCAATAGAAGAATGTCGGAAACGACACGATTAGCCAAAATGGAATGAAGCAATTCTGGCTGAATTGAAATCACTTGGAAAACGTGATGTTTTTGGACCGATTGTCCCTACGCCAAAAGGCGTAAAACCTGTGGGCTTTAAATGGGCATTTGTGCGTAAACGCAATGAGAAAAATGAAATCGTAAGATATAAAGCCCGACTTGTTGCCCAAGGGTTTTCTCAAATGCCGGGAATTGATTATGAAGAAACCTATTCTCCAGTAGTTGATGCAACTACATTAAGGTTTCTCATTGGCATGTCTGTTTTTGAAAGGCTGCAAATGCGCCTAATGGATGTAGTAACTGCATATTTATACGGTTCACTTGATACAGACATTTATATGAAAGTTCCCGGAGGATTTAAAATGCCTGAAGCTTATGGCTCGAAACCTCGAGAAATATTTTCCATTAAATTACAAAAGTCATTGTATGGACTAAAACAATCTGGACGAATGTGGTATAATCGTCTCAGTGAATATCTTCTCAAAGAAGGATATAAGAATGATCTGATTAGTCCCTGTGTTTTCATTCGGCGATCAAATTTGGGGTTCGTCATAATTGCAGTATATGTTGATGACTTAAACATTATTGGAACTCCCGATGAAATTAAAAATACTGCAAAATATCTTATGAAAAAATTTGAAATGAAAGATCTTGGGAGAACCAAGTTTTGTCTCGGACTTCAAATTGAGCATTTGAAGAATGGAATTTTCATCCATCAATCCAATTACACCGAGAAAGTTTTGAAGAGATTCTATATGGACAAAGCTCATCCGTTGACTTCACCAATGGTGATTAGATCTCTCAACATACACGATGATCCATTTCGTCCCCAAGAAGACAACGAAGAAATACTCGGTTCTGAAGTACCATATCTGAGTGCTATTGGAGCGTTGATGCATTTAGCTAATAATACTAGACCAGATAATGCATTTTCTGTAAATTTATAAGCTAAGTACAGCTCATGTCCAACGAGGTGTCATTGGAACGGGATCAAGCACATATTCCGTTATCTACGTGGTACACTTGATCTCGGCCTATTCTACCACAAAGTTGCAAAAGCCACTTTAATCGGATATGCAGATGCTGGATACTTATCAGATCCTCAAAAGGCGAAATCACAAACCGGGTACGTATTTACTTATGGTAATACCGCAATCTCGTGGAGATCTATGAAGCAGACATTGACAGCTACATCATCAAATCATTCTGAGTTAATTGCACTATATGAATCCGGAAGAGAATGTGTATGACTGCGATCTATGATTCAACACATCCGAAACGAATGTGGTATGAAGCCTATTACTTGTCATCCTACTGTAATCTATGAAGACAACACTGCGTGCATAGCTCAGATTAAAGAAGGTTACATCAAAGGTGATAGAACAAAACACATATCACCAAAATTCTTCTCTACTCACGATCTGGAGAAAGAACGGACGATCAACATTCAACAAATCAGATCCAGTGAAAATCCGGCCAATCTCTTCACCAAATCTTTACCCCCGAAGAAGTTCATAGAACTTGTACAGAAAATCGGCATGCGACGTCTTCATAATTTATGCTAAATTCAGGGGGAGTATTTGAATGCACTACACTCTTTTTTCCTTCATCAGGTTTTTATCCCACTGGGGTTTTCCTGATAAGGTTTTTAACGAGACAGTACATCCAAATACAATGACATTGTAAGTCACAAATCTTACCCCTTAACTTTAATTATTTTTATAAATAAATTTTAATATAATCAATACCTATTCAAGGATGAACATTCAAGGGGGGTGTTGTAAATTCCTGAGAATAACAAGTGTGAATTGTTCATCCTTGTCATCAGGACACTAATCCAATTCCAATCCTTGTAATAGACAGATGACTGAGTTTAATGTTACCAGCAGATTTTGCAGAATCATTCTTTCATGATTCATCTCCTGGCCAACTAATATAAATAGGGTAATCAATCCTTTGTAAATGTAACTTAGAAATTCAGAAAATATTCAGATATTAAGAAGAAGTAATTTAGAGAGGTTTTTACCTATTTCTATCTCATAAATATGCCCTTCATCTTAGGGTTAGACTCGGGACGGATGGCCCGGCCCGGGACCGGTACTGTTCCGGCCCGAGACCGGTACTGTTCCGGCCCGGCCCGAACCAGTGGCCCGGTCAGTGACCGGTGCGGGTAGGCCCGACCCGGTGGGTTTCTGGTCCGGGCTCGGGTCACCCATAACAAGGCCCGGTCCGACCGGGCTCAGGCCCAGTTCGAGCCAAATTTATTTATTTTTTTGGTTTTTTTCATTTGTTTGGGCTCCACTGGGTTGAGCTTGATGTTTAGGAGGGGTTTGGGGGTGGGGGGGTCAGGGATGGGTAGCTAAGCAAAAAAAAAAACCAAACCCGAGGCCCGGTCCGGACCCGGACCGGACCCGATGGCTACCCGGGCCGGTCCCGGGTCCAACTATATAGAACCGCCGGCCCGACCGAGCCTGACCCGGCCCGAGTCCAACCATACTTCGTCTTCTTCATTTCGCAACATATTCGTGAATTTATACTCTGTATTAATTAGTCTCTCTTACCATTACCACATACAAGTATATGCGTGTAACATATATTATGCTCCGTACCATATACTCAATTTTTTATAAAAAAAAATTACACACATGTCACAAATTGTTTTATGGACAAATTCAACTCCATTTATGCTAGTGAAGAGTTAAAAGAAGTTAGCCTTCAGAAGAATCACAACTGAAGTGGTAAACAGAAAATGATGTTCAAATTAATACACTTCTCTTTGTTTTTTTACAAGATTATTTTACTCGCCCAAACACTAATCTCAAAACTGCAAATAATTCTAAAAATCATTTTTTTGTCGGATAACCTTACAAGTTACAAACTTACAAAACAATATAACAAATACCGGACAAAACTTGTTTGTAAATTAAAAATAAAAAAACACCAGGTAGGGACAAAGGTTGCTAGCCTATAATGGAGTTGGTGCAGTCATCTCTTGCGGGACAAAGAACCCCTGGAAACAGCTTTCATGTTCTGGGAGTCCCTAAAGCAAACAAAGTGTACAATTGTCCTTCCGTTTGGATAGACTGCAAATACGCTCGTCCCTATCTTCTTGTTGCAGAGAGAGCACATGCTCTCACCCGTTATCTTCACCACTGCTTTCCTCTGGTTATACAGTTCATCTTTTACCTGCTCATTGTAAAATTTAACTGTTGGACAACCATCAACAACTAATCACGTTGCAGCTTACTTTACATGCAAATTAGGCAAAGCACATCTCAAGCCCCTGAACTTTTTCTACTACCACCTCTATGCAGACCTTTTCTTCAAATTGCACCATGAGCGCGCCTAAAGCTAACTTAAGCCCATTAAGCCTAGTTTTATGGGGTGTTTGGATCTGATTCTTAAATCTGCTTCTGCTCCTTCATGGAGCAAAATCAGAAGTTGGAGTGTTTGGCTGAAAGTGTAGAAGTACTTCTAGTGCTCTAATTTACTCCTAGAATCAGTATTTTTAGAAGCTGGGGAGACTAGCTTCTGAAAACTGATTCTGATTCTGCTTCTACTTTTAAAAAGAAGCAGCAGCAGCAGAAGCAAAATCGGTTCCAAACACCCCTTATTTAGTCTAACTTTTAGCCACTGAATGCCATTTGGCTGCCACATGCGCAATCCAAGTTACAAATCACGCCATTTGGGTCAAGTATTTGTACGTTCTCACATAATTTATTTAGATTTGTGGCACTGAATACATACGCGAGAGTGAATAACCCATAAAGCTTATTTGGAAGATACTAAAATGGCTCATGAAATAAGTTCGAGCTTATAAAAAGCCCCACAACCAAACCATGGTTGCTTCAAAAGTCTTTCTAAACAAGAAAATAGTTTTAACGTTAAGGTGTTCATATACATAACTGCACAGAAAACAACTGTGAAAGAGCTGGAGAAAAAGAAAAATACTTGTGAATCAAGCATATAAGGACATAATGCTAATTCCGAAAATAGGAAACAAATACCTGTAGGTTTTCACACTCTCTCAAACTCCTGATCACTGAAAAGTTTCGGTATGCTTCACTTGATTTTCTTAGAAGAGGACCAAGAAACGGAAGCAGGTTCTGGAACGTGGTCAAAAACAAATTCAAGCTAGGATACAATGTCAAAAGACAAACAAATTAATCAGGACTCAAGTTTTTATGGGAAATCTCTGAGGTAATGAACATTTTTTACATAATCGGAAATTCCGAGTTCGAAACATACCCTAACGAGCGAGTTTTTTTAAAATCGCAAAGAAATTATTCATATCACAACTTCTTTTAGATTCCATAATTTCACATTAGTACAGTCTCTGAGTTGTTCACATTAAAAAGACACTTGGTAAAAATATGCTAAGTACCTCCAGCTTGGTCTCCCTTGGTAAGAGTTTCAGGGCCTGAGCTCCATTGATGCGGTCCCACCTTTTCCCCAACAGATCATGCACCTGATCAAGCATAATAGCAGAAACCCCTTCCTCACTAGCATCATCCACATCACCGTCACTCCTACTACTATCTGTGCCACTCTGACTGATCCGAGTGTCCTCAGCACCTTCAATCTCTGCTATTTTCTTGGACCGGTTTCCTTTGAGGAGTTTAGCCGTAGGTCCTGGACCAAGCCTAAGCATACCAGGGCTGTGGGATGACGTTGCCAGATTAGTTATCCTGTTTTCGTAGTTCTTTGTTGTCTTGGAAGGATTCAAATAGATCTGCAGTAGCGTAAGGTATATATTGCTCGGAGACTTCACTGAGTTTTGCTCATATACTCGATCACAATAGGAGAGGGCAAGTTCCGGAACATGAAGCTGAAACATTAAAAAGAAAGACTCATACATGCTCAGAGAGAGGAAGGTAAATTTGACATTGCATATAAACAGAAACAAGAATATAGTAAGGATACACGTTCAGATGATGGGAAGGAAAAAAAATCACCTTGTGGACATAAATGGATAACGCAAGCTCATGCTGATTCATCTTTCCCAACAGGATGGCATGTTCCTCATACAATGCATTTAGAGGAAGTCGCTTCAGTAAAATCTCTGGATTATACCCAGAGACACTCTCCAGAGCAGAGAGTAATTTTTTCCTGGTGGGGGAAAAGCTTTTCTCATCCCAGCTTTTCTGAGAATTAAGTTCTGCATACCAATCCAGAACTTCTGAAAGATAGATTTGGACCTACAATAGGTTAATTAATTAGCACGGTTTTGAATTTATTTAGAGTCAAGAACAGATATTTTCTTATATTTGGTTCTACTTTGGAAAATGAAATAAAAGGAGGTCAATGTTTTCTAAATTTTATATGTACTCCAATTTCTTAGTTTGTATTTTGTAAAATGAAAATAAACGCATAAAGTGAAGCTGAACTATATCAATTTTGCATGCCACATTTCCCGTAATACTTTATGGGTTCAAAAGTCCGAATGGGCCCTCTCGAGGACCCAATAAACAAGAAACAAAAAAGTCCTTTACCATTTCATTCTGAAGATTTCCAGAAATGCTGTTTTCATTCATTGCAAGCATAAGTTCCAAATATGTAGCTTGCAAGTTAGGAGCATGCTGCTTTAAGTAAGAGTTGACCATATCTGCTGGAATGTTCCCAGACAAGAATAGCTCAATAGTTTGCATTGGACAACTTTCAAGGACCACCATTGAGAACTCCAAAACAAGCATGGGGTCTGTCTCACATAGAGGCTGCCAAATAAAATAATGACCAGATTAGAATATTAAATTAAATAAACAGATAGAAGTAACCTTGTTTTCAATCCTCAAGACCTCAACAGTGTAATATCAACTCATTTAAAAAAAGCACCTAGTACATAATTCAAGAATCTGGCAGCTTAAGAAAACCTATCTGTGGTTCCATATTACTACGTAAAAAATAAAGGAACTCAAGAAAAATAAACAAAAGCTCAGTTCATAATAAGTGCATACTTTTAGGTACTCAATGATCAACTCAGGCTTGAATTTCTGTGACAGCTCAGCTGGTGCTTCATCTGACATGGACTCTTCCACCAATTGATGAAGAAGTTTGAGTGCTTCACGATGCATTCCATTGTTTTTGTAAAGTTCTAGCAAACCAAAATACTGATTCCTTTTCTGCATGAATTCCTCACAGATCTTTATATCACAGTAGTTGCTGCCTCTCAGAAAATCCAATGCAGCTGAAGCCTGTCCAGTTAGCATAAGTGCTTGGAGAAATGCAGTGTCAAGAATGGCTGCCATATCTCGAGCAACTGAGCTGATGGGAGTATTTACACGGCCCTGAGATACAAAACGCTGTAATTACATTTATAAATTATGAGTTGTGTTTCTGTATATATATATATACACACACAGACATATATATGTATGTGTGTGTGTCTATATATATATATATATATATATATATATATATATATATTCATCTCAATGAGAATGATAAGATGATTAAAATAAATGATAGCAATCCAAGAATTGGTGAAATATAATCATCACCATCACCATACAAGTTACTAAACTTATTGGATAAGACCACTACCCGATATATATAAAATAAAATAAAAAACAGGCTTTGTTTTTCATGTGAAATGCAAGATAAACTATTGAATCCTAGTGGCCGCAAGAGCTGTTGAATTTGATAAATATAAGTAACTACTTTTCCATTTTCTAATAAGAAAAATCATGATACATTACATAGATTCTAATCCTATGTTAGAAGCACTATTTGTAGGGGGGGGGGGATATGTCGTCATTTGGCAAGTGTTAGCAAATATGTTCATTTGCCACTAAGCCCTCACATGGGACAAAAGTAACAAAATTTGTTCAGCTGTGGTACGCAAGCATTATATAAAGCCAACCACATTCAGAACATCAAAATCGTAGATTCCAAAATCCCTAATGGATAAAATTAAAAGCTACCTTGCTTGCTTTCTTAGATCGGTTAGTGCCATATGGAACATAATTATCACCTACAGCATCTGAAACAACCTCTTCAGTTCCCTCAGCAGTAGCTTTTTCGATGATGCTATATCTCTTTTTCTGCAGAAACTTAATAAGAGCCATTAAAGTATTATGGCTCATTTTTTTGGATTCAATATCCGTCTCTTCAGACTCCGACATATGAGTAGTAGATTCCATATCATCCGACATACCAGAGGAGCCTCTGGAGAGATCTGGATAATCCCCAGACATGTCCACAAATTTCTCTGGTTCAGGTATTACTGCAGATTTTGGAACAGAGACCGATGGGTATAACGAAAGAACATAATTAATTTCTGCTTGAGATGCCAAAAAATGCTCCATGGCCTCCTCATAGCTCCCGTTTTCAAACAAATAGTGTGCATATCTGCAAGGAAGATTGCCTACCATAAATTTTAAGCAAATCAAACAAACAAAGATTTTAAGTATTTTTTCTACTCCCTCACTAGGACTGCTTTTGGCACAATAAGAGCAGGACTCTAATAGAGGGCAAGTCACGCACTCTATGGAATGCCAGAAACATCAGGTCAGCACGTTTCGACGAGATCCTTGGTTTGTCATGGGGGTCGGTTTGACAATGCTGGTTTGTATTCTTTTTCTCAACTTAGGTTTTTCCCCCATTTTCCATCATTTGCAATGGAGCCAAAGATTCATTATTTTTTGGCTTGAGATTATGATGGAATAAAGCAAAATGACTCACTAAACTGTCTGCGCTTCTTTGTTATGAAGCATCAGTCAGTCCATGCAATTTTGGACAGGATTTTCACTATGGGTCATCCGGAAACAGTCTCTCTGTGCTTTAGTACAGGGGTAAGACTGCGTACATCCGACCCCCCTTTACCCCACCGTAGGTGGGAGCCTTGGCGGCACTGGGGTAAATGAAAATGAATGAATGAATGAATGAAGGTTTTTTCCCCATTGGGTTTTCCCAATCAAATGTTTTTAATGAGGCATCCACTGGTCCAATTGATGTCACGACTCCACGAGGATAGTCGGTCAGAGAGACTCTTTCAACAAGAGGAATCTGTGGTCAGCAAATCTATGAACATTGTTTGAGCTCAGCATGAACCAAGACTTTGAAGTGGTCAACTCCATATTGCCTTGTGTGCACTAGGCTGAGGGAGTGTGGCACTCATGTGGAGGATACTACGTTACTCTCATAATACTATAATCACTTTCTCCTCCAAACACTCTGTTTCTCTCTAACTACTGGAATCAGTATCCATCAGTGAATATTTGAAATTACAAAGGTCCAGACAAAAATAGCGGAATGATAGAAAATTTGAAGTGACACAAAGTGCAAATTGCCTTATATGAATTGATTGTTCCTTCGCAGCTCTGAGGCTTGAATCTTCTGGTGGAAGCAACTTGCACAATGACAAGGCCTCCTCGAAGTTTCCAGATGCAGTTAGTTGTACAATCTGCACAAGAAGCATAATATTACTTTATAGTCAGAGCCCTCATTAGTCTCTGCAATAATAATCACTTCACAACTTTGATATCGGACATAACCTCCAGGGGTTGTTAGCTAGATATGACATGGCTTATGAATGTTCTTTCCCGCAATATTTGGCATTTAAGTTCACATGTTCAGCTCCAACCTTCTACACTCTAAAGCAATAAGAGTTTTCACTATTGTTCTTAAGCAATATAAGTTTATCAAATATTCTGAACTGTGAAGCAATAAGCGTCTACAGCATTTTCAGAGAAAGGTTGAAGAATTGTTCATACACATGTAATCAGAAACATAAGTCTCGTGAAAAACTGCAGACTTCAGGTGACTATATTACACTTCGAGTACAACTTAGCCTACTAACACTTTTACCTTTTGACGATGCACTTTGGGTAACATTCTCGGAACATAGAAAAGTATCATTCTTTCCAACATGTTTTCTTTTTTGTATAACATTCTCTGAACATAGAATATAGAAAAGTATCATTGTTTCCAGGGTGTGGTTTTCAACTTTTGACCACAAGTTCAGTACCAGTACAACATACACTCACGTAATATTATACATTTGCACATAAGAAGACATTCTTGAATTCAGAAAAAATTGTCACCAAACTAGAGATGGAGAAATACCTGTGCACCTAAAGGAACAGGAAAGAGTCCAAAAACAGAGTTCTCAAGAGCAACAATTATAGCATTGTTGCTTTGAACAAGACGGCGAACATTTCTTAGGGCAACTGTCTGTATCAGCGGGTAAGGAGACCGAAGAGAACGTATCTGAGATCCACATAGATAGCACACAGCTAAGGTCATGCCCACTTGCTAACCATACTTTATAAATGAGAAAACAGCATATGTTTGCAAGGATAATAGTTCAGCTACCTCCACGTGTCTTGGTTGGAGACCTATTGCATATGGCTTTTGAATAACAACTACGGCAGGAGCTTCAGACCAACAAATCCTACCATCCTGAAGAAGCTTACCGTTTTGGTCTACGAATACTCCAATATTATCCTACAGTAATATATCAATAACATACCAAAAGTCACATCATCTGATCATCATGTAAAAACAGTTACTAAGTACTAAACAGTAAGCACACGTCTAAATTTGATAGAGGCATTGCTTCAAGTTATCTCAAGTTTAAGTAACTGTAATTGTAAGGAAAATGGTCTCATTTCATATGATTAATAATCAACTCAGTGATAGGTTTAGTGGGTTGGAGAACCTATGAACTACATGGTCTTAGATGTGCAAAGGACTAATGCGGCAACACATTGCTACACAAACAGGGTATAAAATGAAGTAATACCTACAACAATTACCTTTCCCAGAAGAAGTTCTCCGGATGGAAGGGGAACCACAAGAGGTGGGGCAGTCCTCCCCGAAGGAAACACCTCAGACACTGATCCATTTGTGGTATTCAGTATCATGTATTCCCTTCTAATTCCTAAGCAAATGTTCTCTCCACACCATGCCATTGACTTAACTGTATCTGGTACCCCCAAATTCTTTCACCTCTACGAAGCCCCTTCCTCCTAAATAAGTGATAGGCGTAAGAATTGCGGAGTAATACTCTTACCATTCAGACACAGAGTAGTAAGCAATGCTAAAATTTCACGAATGCATCAATTTTTCTTTTACCGTCGTGTCTGAAAATACAAACTCTCTTTTGTCTGGCGAAGCAAAGGAACCCTCGTTTGTCGTCCCAGGAATACACATTCGCTCCTTTTGCTTTGGTAATAACGGCCAGCGTCTCCAAATTGGGCAACCGATGGAAGGCGATGGATTCGGAGAGCGATAGAAGAAGCTCCCGCGACCCAATGACCTCCATCGCCAGCATCGTCTTCTTGGAGAATCCATTGACTGTCCGTTCCAGGATGTGGCGTTCTTTGCGAAGCTCCGAGGAGTGTTGAAGGAATTCAGACGGCGTCGAGCGTTCGGAGACGGCTGATTCGGGTGCGTAAACACGGAGCGATCCATCCGAGCAGACGATGAGTAGCTTTGAACCGTACGATTCGACGGCATCAATTTTCGTGGGGCAATCATTGAGGAGCGTAAATGAGTCGTATGCGCTATGCACCATTGTTGTTCTCTTTCCGATCACTGGACTGAGTGAGGCCTTGTCAAACGAAAATTTGTTAAGGCGTTCCAACAAAACGGCGCCGTTTATGGATTTCATGCCCGCGCCCTCATTTAACAATGGTAACATTCCGCAACTGCCACTGACTAATACGGAGTATGAAGGAGCACTGGATCAACACTAGCAAAAATAAATTTTCTATTTTCAAAAAAAAAATTATTTATACTTAAAATTAAATAAAATAAATACATAAATAAATAAATTATGTATAAATAAATGTATAAATTAATAAATATATAAATAAATAAATTTTATTTATTTATTTATTTAATTTTAATTATAAATATATTTTTTGAAAATAGATTTTTTTTTAGTTTCTATTCGACCAACTTAATTGATCTCGAGTGTACAAGTATTAATGAGTAAATTTTAAATTAAACTCGAATCGAACTCGGGCCAAGGTTAAGCTGGGTTTAGACGTATAAAAAAATCTTAGATGAACTTTTACACGTTTTTTATTAATTTTTTGAAATAGGATATCTTAAGGCCTCACATGTCATTTGTTTATAATATTATGTTGAGCTATTTAAAAAAACATTAATTTCATATCTCAAATTATTTATTTTTTAATTGATTTAGTGTTGAGTTATACTCCGGTAGTATTAAATTACTTTCTTATTATAATTTTTAATTGGGTTTTTAATTTTTAATTGAATTTCTCAATTTAAATTTTTTATTATATTCTTTAGCTATTTTAGGAAGAAGTAATATACATTTTCAAAGAAACGAGTAATTCACGAGTTAAAATAATAGTCATGGACTTAAATAAATTTATATAAGAAGTATATTAAATACATGTAAAGGGGAGCATGTAACAAAACAGGTTGTTAGTCCGGCCATTTCTACTTAGCATTCCAATTGCATGGTTGTGGCTTGTGGGTTCAATTCCTAGCAGGCTCAAGTTTTTTAGTTATTCTGAAACACGCTCAAATTAAATTACATTGAATGACTAGTTAATGACGTGGACATGTGATGTGGCGAATTGCATCGCAGGTTTCCTGAAAATGATGAAACTACCCTATTACGAGAAATAAGTTTAAAATTATCCTTAGTTGGGAAATAAGTTTCAAAAGTACCCCTTCATGGGAAAAAACTCGTATTTTCGTCCAAAAAGAGAGCCGTTTGATAAAACTCAATTAGTTCAATGAATTAAAATTAATGAAATTCCTATTTATGTGCCTGAATCCTCCCCTTAGTAGCATTAGGATGTTTTGAGATATGAAAATAAGAGCTCCCCTGACACATATTTAAAAACTGAAAAACAAATGCAAAATAAGAGCATTTTTAATAACTGAGAATTGTATTGGGAAGGTGTTGACATTTTAGGATCTGATGAATCCTCCCCTGACACATATTTAAAAACTGAAAAACAAATGCAAAATAAGAGCACTTTTAATAACTGAGAATTGTATTGGGAAGGTGTTAACATTTTTCGCATTGCAACTCTATCTTCATTTTTCTGTCATGTAAGTTTATATCATAAAAGTATCACCAACAGTATATGAAAACATATCTTTATATCAGCTTATCATTCTATTTTACATCATCATTCTTCTTTAGCCAAATTAAGTTCATACCCCACAGCTGTAATGAATTATACTAAGATGTTTGCTCGCATAAACTTGCATCCCTTTTTGGTCAAACTTTGGTAGTGAGAACTTGATTCATGCCTCCAATATAAGAAAGATTTACATTCTAACTTTAGTTTTGTTTTTCTTAAGCAATAGCTCTTAAGTGACTCTCATTATTTGTGTGTATTTGCCTATAAATTTAGGAACACAATTCCTTCACTTTGAGCGTTGACTTTGGAATGGCAATTTAAAACCAAATTTGTTCTTTTTCCAAGAACCAACATTGAGCTGTTCTGTTCTAGATACGTTTAGATAAGTAGTATCCTTCTAATTTTGTTAGCTTCACGTGCATCACTTCTCAAAACTTCCATGTTTTGAATCAAGCTGGTCTGACCTGAATGATGACCTATTGGATTTGAAGTAACTTTCACTCTTTTTTATAAGAGTACCTTTCACTGTTTTGATAAGTTTAATTTGAAGTACCACCTTTTTGGTCAAAGTAACTTCAGTGAGTTTTTTCTGAAGCAGGATAACCTTATCCAGGTTATGTAATATTGAAGTTTATTTTTACCACACTTAGCTTTCCATCGGGCAATTAATTGTTCATCAATATCAAAGTTTTTCATTTTCTGTTATTTTTACATAATCTTCTCATGATTTTCATTTATCCATCTTTATTCTTTTGGTTCTTAATTTTACTCATCATAAGCTATTCTTTGTTTTATTGTTTTTATCAATTTTCTGAATTGATAAATTTTAAATATGAGTGACCAATATTTATTGATGTGAGGTAGCATAACCAAATTACTCGCTTAGATTATAATTGATTCAATCTTGACAATTTATTGATTTCTACTCAATGTCGGTTTAGGCATTCTAACTAAAGATCGTATTGAAGAGTTGGTTGACATTTATAGTTGGTAAATGTAAACATCTTTCCGTCATTCTGTATTTTGTTTTTAAATTTAATTTTGTATTTTTTAATTGATAAGTTCTTATTTTGAAACGCATTTAATGCGTGTTGGGATCGACTTTTGATGGTTTTCCTAACTTTTAGGTGTTACAAGTCTCAATTTTAGCTCAAGTTATGTTATCAGGCGTTGGTTCGAGTTTTATGTCTTTTGGAGTCAAAATCAGGGAATTTGAGCCCAGCACCGGCGCTTGAGAAGCAATCGGGACGATTTGAGAGTGAATTGAGAGCTTTGGAGGTCACCGGGAGGTCCACAATGAAGATTTGATGACAAAAGAGATCTAGGATTAGATAGGGGATCAAAAGAAGACAAATAGAGCTTGAAAACGACGTTCAGAATGACCTATGTCAATCGTTCAACCATATCTCTTCTTAAAAGAATACAAAGGACACGATTAAAGTTGAATATGAAAGCCAACTTCAAGGGCTATAAATAATATGAATACACCATTGCAAGAATGGGAGAGGAAAAAGGTGAAAATAGACGATGAAGTCAGATGATCCCTGTTGCGATTTCAGAATGAGACCTTCCACCATTTTACTCATATCTATTGATTGGATGATTCAAATCCAATTCGGCAAGTTGTGGTGGATAGAAGACTTCATTATCTACAACTTTCATGAAGGAACTTTTTTCAACTTCGGACTAGATAAGACGGAAAACTAGCTGGCAGCTACATACGCGTGCGTAGGGGGACGCACGCGTGCGTTCAACGTTTTTACGCACAAGTCTGTCGAACGCATGGACGTCATGCACGCGTGCGTGGGCGCCGTGCGTGCCCCATTTTAGTCCTAATTCAACCCGAATTGTTCCATTTTTCCTATTTAAACAGCCTGTAAACCCCTGTTTTGGATGGAACTTAGAGAGGAGCAATAGCACGAAATTGTGAGAGGTTTTTAGCCTTGTTCTTCAATTCATTGACATTCTTTGTAAATTCCCACTTTTTAATTAATGACAATTATTTCTATTCTTCCCAATTCTATTGATTCTTCAATTATGAGTTGGGAGTAGTTTTAATTAGGGATTTGGGATTGATGAAGGGGTTAATCATGATGTATGGCTAGATTCTTGATGGTTTAATTGCATTAATATCACTTAATTTGTGTTTGAACATTTTAATTGCTATCTTTTGTAACCTGGAACCGCGGCTAGACTTACAATTGCTTGTAGAATAAATTAAGAGAGATCTAGTTTATTCTGAGACACATTCACACACACACTTAATCATTCGCTAAGAGATTAGTAGCGATTAAGGGGTCATAAGCTTGCTCGTCTTGACAATAATTTAGGATCCTGTCGCATGAGAGATCAACCTGGTCCCCTAAATTATTGTACTCTACGCCGTGAGAACGGTAAGAACTTAGTATTGATTAGCTAGGCTCAATTAAATTAATTTCATGTAATTAAGCCTGATCTGCCAGAAATCTGATTACCCCGGAATCAATCACTGTTCCCTTCGTCATTAATTAGAAAGAACCCCCTAGTTTAATCGTTTTATTCGCATTTTTATTTTCCAGCAACCAATCTCGCACGACGCATTTTTTTTTTTTTTTAATCGCTGAATTTAGTTAATCTTTGATTCCCCTTTGTCCGTCCCTGTGGAGACGATACTCGTACTTACACCACTATATTACAATCTATTTTAAGTGCGAGAAAACTCACATCAGTAATGTAAATAATGTTGTGTTAATTTCCTATGTTGTAGAAAGTAGAAAACTCATATTTCGGAAGAAAAAATTCCAAGTTCTACTAGCACTAAATTAGTTAGTAGTAGATTTATAACTTAGTGTCTATAAAGGACGTGCGTCCCCAACGGGCCGCCAAGGGTAAGGACGATGGAGCCGGCCTGATGATAAAGGACGTTCGTCTGAAGATGAAGGACGGTGGAGCCGGTCTGATGATGAAGAACGTCCGTCTGAAGATGAGGGATGGTGGAGCCGGTCTGATGATGGTGACCAGGCTCGAGGCCCATCGGCCGCTCGTGTGAGAATGAAGGACAGCAGAGCCGGTCCAATGATGCAGGACCAAGCTCGAGGCCCACTGGACGCTCGTCTGAAATTGAAGGATGGCAGAGCCGGTGTGATGATGAAACAGCCCAAGAGAAGAGGTTTGTTCCCATAGAGGTCGTTCGGCCTCATGTTACCAAACCTGGGGAGGAAATAGTTGCATTCCAAGGACAACCGTCATGAAGATGTACGTCATGAAACATAGTGGGGCAACGTACGTCAGATTCAATTCCTCCCTTTGTCACCGTGGGGGACGTTCGTCCTCATGCTACGAACCTGGAGAGGAGATAGCAGTATTCCAAGGACAACCGTCATGGAGACGTACATCAAGAAACATAGAGGGAAGACATACGCCGGATTCTTCTTGCTTTCGTCCCCGTGGGGGACGTTCGTCCTCATGCTAGCAATCTGGAGAGGAGATAACAGTATTCCAAGCACAACCGTCATGGGGACGTACGTCAGGA